GGATTTGGGTGGATCCTGAACCTCAGGAAGTCGGTGTTGACTCCATCCAGGCGCCTGGAGTATCTGGGGCTGATTCTTGATTTGGAGCAGGCCACGGTGTTCCTTCCATCGGGAGAAATTGTTAAAGCTCTGGTCGGCAGTTCAGCAACTGGCTTGCAGGCGGTCCTCTCTCTACATCTTTGCATGCGGGTGTTAGGCTCAATGGTGGCTACTTTCGAAATGGTTCCATAAGCCCAGTTTCATACGAGAACACTACAGCTGGAACAGTCGACAAGGGCCTCCCTTTGGTGGATGAGGTCTACAGAATGGATGTCTTTCCTCCCTGTTTGCTGGACTGTGGTCACAACAGATGCCAACATGTCGGGCTGGGGAGCAGTCTGGGAGCGAATTCTGCTCAGGGTCAATGGACTATAATGGACTCTGGGGGAAGCTCGCTTACCCATCAATATCCTGGAGCTCTGGGCAATCAGGTTGTCACTGACGCATTGGACGGACCCTCTGTCAGGTCTGGCGACCAGGATTCAGTCGGACAAAGCCACTGTGGTGGCATATGTCAATCAGCAGCAGTGGGGCACGAGAAATGCAGCAGCGGTGCTGGAGGCATCTCACATTCTGCAATGGGCAGAGAGGTTCGTTCCGGCTCTGTCCAACGTACACATTCCAATCGTCAAACTGGCAAGCGGATTATCTCAGCCGTCAGATGCTAGATCAGGGCAAGTGGTCCCTACATCTGCAATTGTTCCATGAGCTCTGCATTCGCTGGGGGACTCTGGACATGGATCTTCTGGCAGCCTGCCTCATTTAGAAGGTTCCATGGTTTGTAGCACGATCATTGGATCCCTTGACAGGCGCAACGGATACACTGGTGGTGCAGTGGGATCTGTACACGCTCATCTATGCCTTCCCACCCCTTTGACTGATTCCTCATCTACTACGCAGGATAGAGGCCGAAGTCTCATTGCTCCAGACTGGCCTAGTCATCCGTGGTACGCCGACGTGGTGTGATTGGTGGCAGATTCTCCCTAGAGGCTGCCTTTTCAGAAAGACCTTCTGTCTCAAGGGATGGTCTTCCACCCTGCTTTACCGTTGCTGGCTTTGATGGCGTGGCTGTTGAGAGCCAGGTTCTGAAGAACAGGGGGTTGTCTGGCTTAGTGATTCCGGCTATGTTGAAGGCCCGTAAGTCTACTCCTGGAAGCTTTGTCATCACACCTGGAGAGCCTATATTGGTTGTGTGGAGCCTTGGGGTTCCATCTGCGTTCCTTTGTTGTGGCTCGGGTGTTGGCCTTCCTCCAATGGGGTGTGGATCAAATGCTTGCATTGAGTACAATCAAGGGTCAAGTATCTGCTCTGGCTGTTTTCTTTTAGCCCTTAGCTACGTATTCTTTGTTCCATACTTTCATGCAGGGGGTTCGTCACGTGGTCCCTCCTGTGCGCTCCCCTTTGTCACCGTGGGATTTGAATTTGGTGCTGTCTGTTCTTCAGAGGCCTCCATTTGAGGCCATTTGGGAAATCCCCTTGCTTACGCTTTTGCAAAAGGTTGCCTTCCTTTTCGCTATCACTTCGGCTTGTAGGGTGTCGGAGTTGCCAGCTTTGTCCTGTAAGCTGCCTTATATGGTTTTACACAAAGACAAGGTGGTGCTTCAGCGTTCCCCTTCCTTTCTCCCGAAGGTGGTGTCTGATTTTCATTTGAATGAGGATATTGTTCTTCCCTCACTGTGTCCTTGACTAACACACCCTAAAGAGGTGGCTCTGCATTCCCTGGATGTGGTCCGTGCGATTTGCATGTACTTGTCTTTAACACTTGCCTTTCAGAGGTCTGACTCTCTCTTCGTCCTCACAGATGGTCCAAAGAAGGGCCTAGCGGCATCTTCTGCCACTATTTCTCGTTGGATTCGTCAGACGTTTGTTCAGGTGTATGCTGTTAAGGGGCAGAAGCCGATTTTCCCAGTTACAACGCACTCCACTAGAGCGGTTGGCACCTCCTGGATGTTCCGACATCAGGCATTTGTTTCTCAGGTTTGCAAGGCGGTGACCTGGTCATCTGTGCACACGTTAACAAAGCTCTTTAAAATTGATGTGTTGGCACTTTCCAATGCTAGTTTTGGCTGCAGGTGGCTGTTTAGGGCTCCTGGGCCTCCCCTTTTGGAGTTCTTCGGAGTGTTGGCTTGTTGCCCTGGGGGTTCTTTCTTCTTACTCCACCCATTCTGGCACTGCTTGGGGAGCGTGCGCTCGCTGGTCAAACTGGAGTGACTACTGGATCTAGATTATCCAGCCCATCGCCCAGCCCAACTGTTGATAGAAGATCTCTGCAGGAACACAAGTCCAGGAAAAAAGAAAAGGAAATGTTGTGGGACCACAAGTCCCTGCAAAACTTCACATCCATACTCCTGAGACACTAGGCAGAAAATACTGGAGAACCATAGCAGGAAGGGGGTTTTATACCCAGAGAGGACTGCCCATAGGAGGTGCCAAGTCTTTTTTTTTTTCTTTCTGCCTAGTGTCCTACTCCTGTAGGTGGGGCTATAAAATAAGAATCAGTTTACTGTCAGTTTATTAATCCAGCAGTTCTAATTCACATACAGTGGATATAAAAAGTCTACACACCCCTGTTAAAATGTCAGGTTTCTGTGATGTATAAAAATGGTTATTTCAGAACTTTTTCTACCTTTTAATGTTACCTATAAACAGTACAACTCAGTTGAACAACAAACTAAAATCTTTAGGTGGAGGGAAGTAAAAATAAAAAAAACTAAAATAATATGGTTGCATAAGTGTGCACACCCTTAAACTAATACTTTGTCGAAGCACCTTTTGATTTTATTACAGCACTGTCTTTTTGGGTATGTGTCTATGAGCATGGCACATCTTGACTTGACAATATTTGCCCACACTTCCTTGCAAAAACACTCCAAATCTGTCAGATTGCAAGGGCATCTCCTGTGCACATCTGTCAGGGCTCCCAGGTATGACCAGAGGTGTGTGACTGATGCAGGGAAACGCAGACTTCAGATATGTGATAAACAATACAATTTATTAACACTAACCATACAAACATAAACGCAGTGCAATACTAAACATAATACAGTGCGAACAAACCAAACCAAACCACCCACAGATAACAGTACATACAAGCAAGCGTCGTCAGGCAGGCCGGGTCAATATCAATTGGGCAGGTAGGTACAGGGGGAGCAAGCAGAGAATGGTCGGGGTCACAGGCCAGGTTCAGCAGGTAGCAAGCAGCGTAGTACAGAGGGTCAGGCAGAGGGATGGTCAGGGTCACAAGCCAGAGATCAAAACAGGTAACAAGCAGCGTAGTACAGAGGGTCAGGCAGAGGGACAGAAACAGGATGCAGGACAGATACAGGGCCCAGGACAAACACAACACCAAGGCAGAGTCTGTGGGTCTGGCCATCCCTTAAATACCCCAGCATCATCAGTTCCAGGTGTTAGCTGGCTGAAAGGTTGAGTCTCTGATTGCTGGGAGCACCCGCTGGCCAGCCCTGGTACTGCAGATCAAAAGGCAGGTGAGTCCCACCATTGCTGGCCAGTCCATTCCTGACAGTACCCCCCCTCAAGGAGCGGCCTCAGGACGCTCCAAACAGTCCTAGCTGGGCAAAATGTTCCACCGCCCGGGTCTGGTAACTGGCGGGATATCAAAGACTGGCACACACCGGGCAGGACTCCGGGCAGCGGCACACCTGGCTGGACTCCGGGCAGAGGCACACCGGGCTGGACTCCGGGCAGAGGCACACCGGGCTGGACTCCGGGCAGAGGCACACCGGGCTGGACTCCGGGCAGAGGCACACCGGGCTGGACTCCGGGCAGAGGCACACCGGGCTGGACTCCGGGCAGAGGCACATCGGGCTGGACTCCGGGCAGAGGCACATCGGGCAGAGGCACACCGGGCAGAGGCACATCGGGCAGAGGCACATCGGGCAGGACTCCCGGGCAGAGGCACACCGGGCAGAGGCACATCGGGCAGGACTCCGGGCAGAGGCACATCGGGCAGGACTCCGGGCAGAGGCACATCGGGCAGGACTCCGGGCAGAGGCACATCGGATTACCAGGCGAAGCAGCAGGCAGCGGGCCACCAGGCAGAGCAGCAGGCACCGGGCCCCCGGGCGGAGCAGCAGGCACCGGGCCCCCCGGGCGGAGCAGCAGGCACCGGGCCCCCGGGCGGAGCGGCAGGCACCGGGCCCCCGGGCGGGGCGACATGCATCGGGCCCCCCGGGCGGGGCAGCAGGCACCGGGCCCCCGGGCGGGGCGACAGGCAGCGGGGGCCCCCGGGCGGAGCAGCAGGTACCGGGCCCCCGGGCGGGGCAGCAGGCTCCGGGGCCCCCAGGCGGAGCAGCAGGCACCGGGCCCCCGGGCGGAGCAGCAGGCACCGGGCCCCCGGGCGGAGCAGCAGGCACCGGGCCCCCGGGCGGGGCGACCGGCATCGGGCCCCCCGGCGGGGCGGCGGGCGCCGGGCCCCCAGGAGGGGCGACAGGCGTCGGGCCCCCAGGCGGGGCGACAGGCATCGTGCCCCCAGGCGGGGCGACGGGCATCGTGCCCCCAGGCGGGGCGACGGGCATCGTGCCCCCAGGCGGAGCGGCGGGCGCCGGACCCCCAGGCGGAGCGACAGGTCTCGGGCCCTCAGGCGGAGCGGCGGGCGCCGGACCCCCAGATGGAGCGACAGGTCTCGGGCCCTCAGGCGGAGCGGCGGGCGCCGGACCCCCAGGCGGAGCGACAGGTTTCGGGCCCTCAGGCGGAGCGGCGGGCGCCGGACCCCCAGGAGGAGCGACAGGTCTCGGGCCCTCAGGCGGAGCGGGCGGGCGCCGGACCCCCAGGAGGAGCGACAGGTCTCGGGCCCTCAGGCGGAGCGGCGGGCGCCGGACCCCCAGATGGAGCGACAGGTCTCGGGCCCTCAGGCGGAGCGGCGGGCGCCGGACCCCCAGGCGGAGCGACAGGTCTCGGGCCCTCAGGCGGAGCGGCGGGCGCCGGACCCCCAGGAGGAGCGACAGGTCTCGGGCCCTCAAGCGGAGCGGCGGGCGCCGGACCCCCAGACGGAGCGACAGGTCTCGGGCCCTTAGGCGGAACGACAGGTCTCAGGCCCCCAGGCGGGGCGGCGGGCACCGAGTCACCAGGCACAACCGTGGGCTCCGAGTCAACTGGGATGACCGCTGGCACTGGGTCAGACATTGGATCGTCTGGGCTGGACAGCGGGCATCGGGTCACCAGGCATCAGGTCATTTGGCTCGACAGCGGGCACCGCGTCATCTGGCAAGGCAGTGGGCTCCGAGTCAACTGGTATGACCGCGGGCACTGGGTCAGACATTGGATCGTCTGACTGGACAGCGGGCATCGGGTCACCAGGCATCAGGTCATTTGGCTCGACAGCGGGCACCGCGTCATCTGGCAAGGCAGTGGGCTCCGAGTCAGGCACGACAGTGAGCACCGGGTCATCAGGTACCGGATTGTCTGGCTCGACAGCGGGCATCGGGTCACCAGGTATGACAGCGGGCACTGGGTCACCAGGCATCAGGTCATTTGGCTCGACAGCGGGCACCGGATCAGGTACCGGATCATCTGGATCAACAGCGGGCATCGAGTCAACTGGCCTAATAGGATCGTCAGGCTGGATCAGTTCATCATGCTGGGTAGAGGCATCAGGCTGAATGCCGGCGTCCGGCTGAGTAGAGGCTTCAGGCCGAGTAGAGGCATCAGGCCGAGTAGAGGCTTCAGGCCGAGTAGAGGCTTCAGGCCGAGTAGAGGCTTCAGGCCGAGTAGAGGCATCAGGCCGAGTAGAGGCATCAGGCCGAGTAGAGGCTTCAGGCCGAGTAGAGGCTTCAGGCTGAACCACGGAAGGCAGGCTCACCGGTTTGGATACTGGCAGGATGGTATTGGTTGGAAAGAATTTTCGCTTTTTTCTGGTTTTAACTACTGGAGCACTGCAAGTAAACACAGGTCTGCAAACGAATGGAGCAGCTGGAGACAGAGAAAAACTGGAGGATGGGACAGGAGAGGGAGCAGTTGCTACAGAGGGCTCTTTTACAGGGTTAAAGGCAGGATAGGTGCAGCGAGTGGGAACAGGGTAATGACATGCGGTAGATAGCAGGGCAGGAGGAGCTGTTGGGAATGCAGGAATAGAGTTTTGAGGAAATAGATTAGAAGCAGGACTGGGTCTTTGTAAGCTGACTGAGGCTGGGTGCAACAAATCTGTCCATGTCTGCAGTATGGGTTGAACAAAGCTGAGCTTACACAAAGCCTGTCTGGTCAAAGACTGCACTGCGTTTATACAATCTCTTAGTGTCTGTGGTGAACATGTGGAATAACGCTCCAGAAAGATAACCCACATCATCCTCTAATAACCACACCAGGGACTCTACCTGGTCTGCACTAAATGGTGGCAAAAATTTATCCCTGCATTCGGGGGTACCAGATGAAACCAACTCAGCACAAACCTCAATCAATGGCTGCACCTCAGAGAACTCTGTGCCCTGATCTACTAGAACATGGAGTGAGCCGTATACATTCTAGCAGTTCATCCCAGGTATACTCCTTCAGAGTTTGATAAGCATACTCCCTGTCATCAAAAACACTAGCAGATATAAATATTCAACCTCATCAAGATCCATCCTTCCCATCAACAAGCCAAGATGGCTTCCCTGTGCAGCCACTCTGGTCAGGATTGGCCTTGGTGTAATGTCAGGGCTCCCAGGTATGACCAGAGGTGTGTGACTGATGCAGGGAAACGCAGACTTCAGATATGTGATAAACAATACAATTTATTAACACTAACCATACAAACATAAACGCAGTTGCAATACTAAACATAATACAGTGCGAACAAACAAAAAAAAACCAAACCACCCACAGATAAAAACAGTACATACAAGCAAGCGTCGTCAGCAGGCCGGGTCAATATCAATTGGGCAGGTAGGTACAGGGGGAGCAAGCAGAGAATGGTCGGGGTCACAGGCCAGGTTCAGCAGGTAGCAAGCAGCGTAGTACAGAGGGTCAGGCAGAGGGATGGTCAGGGTCACAAGCCAGAGATCAAAAACAGTAACAAGCAGCGTAGTACAGAGGGTCAGGCAGAGGGACAGAAACAGGATGCAGGAAACAGATACAGGGCCCAGGACAAACACAACACCAAGGCAGAGTCTGTGGGTCTGGCCATCCCTTAAATACCCGAGCATCATCAGTTCCAGGTGTTAGCTGGCTGAAAGGTTGAGTTTCTGATTGCTGGGAGCACCCGCTGGCCAGCCCTGGTACTGCAGATCAAAAGGCAGGTGAGTCCCACCATTGCTGGCCAGTCTATTCCTGACAACATCCTTCTTCAGATCACCCCACAGATTTTCTATCAGATTCAGGTCTGGGCTGATTTGGATGTTTATGCTTTCGGTCGTTGTCATTAGAGATGAGCGAATTATTCAAAAATTCGGTTCGGCTGATTCGCCGAATTCGCCGAATAAATTCGCTTTGAGCCGAATATATTCGCTGCGAATTTAACTTATAAAAAGGGTGTTTCTAGGCTTCAGAGAGCCTTTATATTAGTGCAGAACACTGTACCTTTAATTTAAATGCCCTTGGAGTCTGCTGGGGAAGAGAAATAATACTGTCAGTCAGTTTGACATGCAGATGAGTGCCGTCGATCTTAGAATCACCGCACACTTCACCCATTTGGGCAGTCACGGGGCCAAAACCAGAGTGTGGAGCCACAGTGTGGCGGTGGAGGCAGCAGCAATGGGAGGCCATACAGCACCCTATGACAAAATGGAACCCACCAGCAGTGTGAGGAGACCTGAAAGTGGCACCAGGCAGAGTGTGGCGATGGAGACAGCAGCAATGGGAGGCCGTACAGGGACCCATGACACACTCTGGACCTGGCAGCAGCATGAGGAGGCGGTACAGGGGCCCATGACAGATTACGGGCCTGGCAGCAGCATGAGGAGTCGGTACGGGGGCCCATGGCAGATTACGGGCCTGGCAGCAGCATGAGGAGGCGGTACAGGGGCCCATGGCAGAGTGGCGGAGCGTAAGCAGCTAAAATTGAAGGCCATACACAGGCCTAGGTTTAAAAGTCCCTCACAGTTAATTCCAATAACGAACTCTACTCCTCCGTGCAATCTACTTACGAGACCCTGGGCAGGTCTGGGTCCAATTTGTGGTAGAGACTGGTTTTGTTCAGCCATGCTTGAGCGAGTTAATAACAGGTCTGTGCTGCCCTTTGGTGTCTGGCTTAATGCGCACAACACTGAAAACGTCCCAGCGTTTGTCAACGATTTGCCGTTAAGTGATGCAAACCCGCTGAACCACGTTCATGAGAAGCCGGTACAGGGGGCCATGAATCAGTATGGACCTGGCAGCAGCGTGAGCAGACGACAGAGGCACATGGTGCAGGGTGGCGGTGTAGGCAGCATTATTTCTGAAGCCATACACAGGCCTAGGTTAAAAGCGGAAGCCGTCAGCAGCGTGAGCAGACGACAGAGACACATGGCGCAGGGTGGCGGTGGATGCAGCAGTATTCGGAAGCCAAACACAGGCCTCGGTTAAAAAGCGGAAGCCGTCAGCAGCGTGAGCAGACGACAGAGGCACATGGCGCAGGGTGGCGGTGGAGGCAGCAGCAATGGAAGGCCATACAGCACCCTATCACAAAATGGAACCCACCAACAGTGTAAGGAGACCTGAAAGTGGCACATGGCAGAGTCTGGCGATGAAGTCAGCAGCAATGGGAGGCCGTACAGGGACCCATGACACACTCTGGACCTGGCAGCAGCAAGAGGAGGCGGTACAGGGGCCCATGGTCAGAGTGGCGAAGCGTAAGCAGCTTAAATTGAAGGCCATACAGAGGCCTATGTTAAAAAGTCCCCCCAGCAGCAGTGTGGGGAGACGACTATCAAGAGTCCAATGGCAGAGTGGCGGAGCAGAAGCAGCTTCAATTGAAGGCCATACACAGGCCTAGGTTAAAAAGTCCCCCCAGCAGCAGCGTGGGGAGATGACTATCAAGAGTCCAATGGCAGAGTGGCGGAGCGGAAGCAGCTTCAATTGAAGGCCATACACAGGCCTAGGTTAAAAAGTCCCCCCAGCAGCAGGTGTGGGGAGACGACTATCAAGAGTCCAATGGCTGAGTGGCGATCCGGGAAGTCAGCGTTGTGATTGCAGATGCAATGCAGATATTCTATGAGGTGATGCCGGTGGGTGCGAAGAAGATCATATACCGTCGTACTTCCATCCATAAGACGGAACAACCTGCGAACCGGGAGCTTTATTGCCCTGACCCCGCTGAGCAGCTTCTGGGATACCCAAGAGGCCCATGGCAGAGTGGCGGAGCGTAAGCAGCTTCAATTAAAGGCCATACAGAGGCCTATGTTAAAAAGTCCCCCAGCAGCAGCGTGGGAGACGACTATCAAGAGTCCAATGGCAGAGTGGCGGAGCGGAAGCAGCTTCAATTGAAGGCCATACACAGGCCTAGGTTAAAAAGTCCCCCCAGCAGCAGTGTGGGGAGACGACTATCAAGAGTCCAATGGCTGAGTGGCGATCCGGGAAGTCAGCGTTGTGATTGCAGATGCAATGCAGAGATTCTATGAGGTGATGCCGTGGGTGCGAAGAAGATCATATACCGTCGTAACTTCCATCCATAAGACGGAACAACCTGCGAACCGGGAGCTTTATTGCCCTGACCCGCTGAGCAGCTTCTGAGGTGGTAGAGGCGGACATCTTTGCTGGACCAAGGACGTGCAAACGTGGAGGCAAAAGCGGCGTGACCTGTCCAAGTTGCTGGTGCGGCTGTGCCGGCACCACGTTCACCCAGTGGGGGGCCGTAAATGACATGTACTGTCCCTGACTGTAGTTACAGCTCCACACAGTCGGCGCTGCCGTGCACTTTGGCAGACACCGACATGCTCAAAGACTGGCCCACCATCTCTTGTACATGTGAATGCAGGGCTGGCACTGCCTTTTTGGCGAAGAAATGCCGGCTTGGCACTCTCCACCGCGGCTCGGCACAAGCCATCATTTCTCGGAAAGGTGCTGAGTCCACCACTTGGAAAGGGAGGGACTGCAGCACCAGCAACTTGGACAGGAGGACGTTCAGCTTCTGCACCGTCGGGTGCGTGCTCGCAAACTGTTGTCTCTTGGAAACGGATTCCAAGAAAGACTGCTGACGGAATCCGTGAAGAGGAGTAGCAGGAGAAGGAGCATCTGAACGAGCGGAGATGCCAACGAGTGCGACAACTTCCCTCAGCAGAGGTGTTGGAGCCTTGACTGGCTGATAGAGGGCGATTGACGTCGGGTGACGGAGCAAGTAACGGAGCGGGTGATGGAGCGGGGGCTGGGGCAGGCAGAGAACCGCCGTATCTTTATCACGGTTTTCCCAGGCCACCGAATGGCGACGCTGCATATGCTGACGCAATGCTGTAGTCCCAACATTGGCCCCCTGGCCACGCTTGACTTTCTGGCCACATAGTCGACATACGGCTACGTTTACTTCCTCGGGCGGCTTGACGAAAAATTGCCACACCGCCCGGAGTAGGAAACTTTGCCCCCGATACTCCTCACTGGCTGACTGCTACTTCCTCCGTGCACACCGGCACCACTACTGGCCGTGGTGGTAGGCTGCAGTGGAGCTGGTGCTCTAACTCCGTGGCCGTTTGGCTCCACTGACACTGCTGCGACCCTGCTGCCTCCTGGGCAACCCACCGACTGTTTTTGCTCGCTGGCAAGCTGGCAACCCCCTCTTCTCCTGATGATGCGGAAGCAATAGCCTGATGACGACGAGGCTGCCAAGTGCGATCAGCCTCATCATCATCAATTAGGGTTTCCGCGTCACTACTAGCCCCCTCGGCTGCGTGTGGGTCAGGAGACAGACCTGTCTCTAGATCGGCTACCGAGCCACTCTCCTCGCCAGTACTTCTTCGCCTGGCTGCTGAAGAGGCGGATGTCTCCCCCCGTTCCTGACCGCCCTCTGTTAGCTCTTCCTCACTGTACAGTGGGGCTGAGCCCACAGCATGCGATACTTCGCTTGGTGAGGGAACACCAAAGGACAGGGGGCAGGTCGAGGACACGTGATTTCAGTG